TGTGTTGGCAACGACTCGAACCATAGCTCTCTAACTATTTCTGAGTCCGCAGCTGTAGGTCCTGCAAGAGATTTCAGGTACGTGAGGTGATGACTTGGTTTAGCATCACCCAGAGGTTGACGTGCTAACAATGTCCTTAATCGTTCCTCCTCGATGGGAGGAAATGTCGAAGAATCGCCTCTTGGAGGCTATCGTAGGCGTTGGGGGAATTTGAATTAAGGACTGCCTCACGTACAGATACGATGTGATCCCCTGGTAGTGATTCAAGAGCAAAAGCGTACTTTTGCTTTTGGCCCAAAATGCGACGAATCTCGAATTGAGACTCTATTGCCGCAAACCAAACCTTTGGGTCATGAGGAATAAATGGTACAGGTCGAAAATAGATAGCCTGTACGTCTGAGTCTGTAATATTAATGCTGCTTTTGTCGCTATCCGTCATGTCGTGTATATTATATATTAAAAATTAATATAAAAATATACGACAGACGTGGATAGATTAACCAGAGACTCACCGAATTGACTTCTTTGGATGATTTGATCAGAGGTTGATGCGTATTCGAAAATTCGGCTCACCAGTTGTAGCATGGTGTTGAGTCGCGCTTGACTATGAACACCGCTACAAGAAGACTACGTGCCAATTAACCAATAAGATCCCCGTAGGTTAATATCAGAAGGCAGATGATGGCTGTAGTCGAGATGTATTTGTTGGCTATCTCGTGGTATCGAATTCGTACAAGTTAAAAGTCAACGGGAGAGTGAGTGTAATGGCTGTCATTAACGCAGTTAAACAAACGAGCACAGTAAAATTCACTGGTACAATTGGTTATAATAATAATTGTTTTCATTGAACCAATCGCATTCTGTTGACAAAATATGATAATTAGAAGTAATAGAAATATAGTATGAACTAAGAATCCCAGGGATAACGCAATTGAATCAAGAAGTACTACACAAGCACTAACGAATGTACTGTATTTAGAATTCGAAATCAAACATTCAACAAGTACAAAGGAGTCATTAGTTCATTCAAACACCACACAAAAGTAGGTCGCTACACTATAAATGAATGTGAATTCCAAAACGCAATAATACATAACTTGAACAACTTTTAATATAAAGTGTTAGTGAATGTTATACTCAATGTTTATCGGTTAAACGACCCATTTTACCTGTTAAAACGGAACCCTGAAGCAATTAAACGTAGCTAGAGTGAACAGTTTTTATTTAAAAAAGTTCTGACGTCAAATGGCCTGTCTGTCTATCAGTTGATTGTAGTCTGTTTTTTATTGATGTATTATCATTTGAGATAGGCTGGCTAGTTGACACTCAGGAGAGTTTCTATACATTTCAGTATCATAAAAATAAATCAACCCAGCGCATTTCTGGTTATATTTCAATACAACATATTTGCTGAATATTTATTGCCAGTTTTACGCTCATTATGAAACAGATGAGAATTCCAAGTGTCAGTGTCAATGTGAATTCAAGTCAAATACAAAGAGTTCTTTTCGTAGCATTTATCCAATACTATCATCATTCCAGTCCAGTTATCTTCGTTCAACCCAATTGTAATTTAATTGTTGACACTAGTTAATTCATTTATTTAGATTGATATAGAAGGATATGTCTATCCTAGTTCTCTTTATTCAGTTGTCTCCAGTCGTCAGCTGTAAAGATAACGAATATATCAGAAACTCATGGATTATCAAAGCATCCCTTGAACAAGGAAGAAAAGGATGACTGAGAATGTAATCCGTTGATATGCACCTACCAATGATAGCAGCGAAGATGATGAAGAACAGACTTATGAAGGCCTGGAAGCAATCGTAGAGAAGTTCCCAGGAAACGACATGATCATTCTGACGAAGCTTGTGGTGAATAACCAACTAATTTACTGTACAGTTATATATTTTATGTTGCTTGAACATACCATAATAAAACGATGCAATCTCGTACTGCAAATTGGAATTTGAGTTCTTTACAGTGTCTTGTCGAAGTTTTAGAATTATGGGGATAAGTTCTTTTCTATTATTTTAATTTGATATACCTCAACGCCAAAGTTACAATTAGTGAGTGCCTACAGATATCACGGAACGACATGGACTGAGAGAAAGCAACGCAAGTCGTGAGATCTGCAAATTTATGTTTTTTTAGAAAAATGGTTATAGGCGAAAAATGTTCATGATGTTCATGAAAGATGTGATAATAAAGTGAGGAGCTGGTAGAGCTGAAGGTCACACTTAGTGATGGCAAAGATCATATTAGATCTAAGAAAGCAATGGAAACTTGAGGGAAAACATTGCGAAGCTTAGTACATCAGACACGAGGCAACCATATGATACGACAAAGAACCCAGCTGGCAAACTGACTAAATAAGAGCGCCCAGTCAAAAACGAAAAGGACTATTATCGATGAGGTTAACGATTAAATGACTTCCGTTGCGTTTGTTTGTCAAAAATATGGATTGCAAAAGGTTCTTCATAGTCCTAGTTTACAGAATTAAATTCGTGATAGAGCTCCTCACTTTTAGTGGCCTTGTATTGGACTGCAGCTGGATTAGATGCTGATTGTCATTGAAATACACATGTCAGCTATCCTAGTAAATTTCATCGACTTGAATCGCATTAGTGAGTATCGGAAATTAATAAGCCAAATACGAGGATGGAGTTTGAATACGTATATTTTTTCCATGAATGATTGAATCTTCCTTTTGCTGTGATGGTTGTTGTATTTTCTTTATTTCTTCCATTTGTTCTTGTTCAATTAAGGACACAGTACAAGTATAGGATTATTAAAATTATTCTATGACAACGTAAGCAAATTTGAAGTGCTACTCTTGGGTCCTTGATTTTTCATATCTTCGTTCAAGTTTCTGCATTGTTTCCTGGTAAACGGCACGGAGTATATAATGCTCGATTGATTAAATAAATAATCATAGCTAAGCTGTCCTTCTGTTAATAGCTGATCACGATAGATAAACTGAGTTGTATAAAAATGATATAATGTAAATGACGACTATGCAGTACATGATATTGACCACGATATTCTAATGGTAGTTGTTTCGGTTTAAGAAAGGGTGGCCACACAGTTGTGACAACATGATGTTGGCGACAACGTTCACGACTTTAGATCACGGCCGGACTTGGTTCTCTTTAACTAGTTACACGAATTAGGTGAAGAACTGGATCACGATCAGTGTGCCATAAACTAGAGAGAAGATAATAATGACCACCACAAGACTACCGAATGATTCATCAGATGACAGAGCAGGATACAAATACACCATTTTCAATGCTGACACCAAATTATTTAGTGTATTAATTATACCACAGCGTTCACGAATTGAAATAGATAAACCACCACGTTTTCTAGCCTCTGGAGAATACACAGAAACAAGATCTTTCAGTAATAATATGTCTTTAGTAAGTCCTAGATTATTACGCAAATCCAATATCCAACGCAAGTCGATTAACTAAGCTTCTGAAGTTATTGGTTTATAGTCAAAACCTTTCACTGCCTGTTCTGAAATTAAAGTTAATAATTTATTATGGATAGAAATTCCTCTTGACAGTTTTATTTGATCGACTGAAACATCCAATAAAATATGCAAGTGGTGAAAAAGCGGTATATAATTGTAATATGGATAAACGCAAATCAATAAAGGAATAACAAAATTGACTTCGCGCATTATATTTAAAACTGACTGTCTATTACTGACCATTAGGCACGTCATGAAAACTTAAAAAATATTGGTTAAATGCTATGTTGAAGACGTCTGATTAAACGTAGTTTCGGTAAAAGTTAATAAACTACCATTGGTCTTACATTGATGCCATTTTGCATAGTGAGTAAATGGAAAAAAACAAGAAACGTGACGCATCACTGCTAAATAGATTTAGAGTATAACGTGTTTGCTGGGTTTTTGGAAGGGTTTGACTAATTAATCGATCGAGTTCGTTCAACAAATCCGCTAATGTTGATAAACAAGCTTCAGTATTGTATAACCAATGAGTACGTTCAGATGGGAGTTGATGATGACACCAAAAATCGCACATTGTACCTGGACTAATTTGAACTTCCATTCTAAACACATGATAAATGGGTATTATTTCATATTCACTGTGGTTGCCAACTTTCACTCAGAAATTGCGTATATCGTACTAATGTATTCTATGCAATAAATGTCCACGTCTTCAACAAGACTATCAACTAATGATTTATGAGAAACTAAATTACTATGATACTCTCAAAATCCACCTACTTGTTATAATTCGTCTAAATATCGAAAGCATTAGAATTCACTGAAACATCACAAGCAAGATTTCAGACCACTGAGTCCTTCAAGGCAATAACATATTTCTGCTTCAGTATCTCTGAATATGTCAATAAATTTTCTTAATACCACTTGAAGTAGCTCTCGTTATTGGGCATTCTTGGGAGGATAAGTACATAAAGTAAACTAACGAGAAGAGTCTTAAATTAAATGTAACTTATATGTCAAGTATAGGTTCATATGTAAAGTCATAAATTTATGTGAGGGTTAATGACACTATCTGGCTACCTGAACTATAGTAGAATAATTTACGTTTGGACCTGTGATGGAATGGGTTTATGAAACTAAATTCTAGTTATCCTTTGGAAGGTGGATGTATCTCCCAGCTTGAATGCTAATGATCATATGGAAATGTCAAACAGAACTAGCACTGATAGGAGCATATTTACAGCTCTTCTGAAAAATCTTGACATTTTTTATTAATAGTCAGCCCTAATTATTTGCTATAATACAATTTATTCTTTTGGTCAACTTTCCATTACAAGAAGTTGTTGTAGTGTAACGAGTCAGCTTTCAATTAAACAAACCTCTCTAAGAATTTATGTAGGCAAAACCAAAATAATTGCGTAACTATTAAATAGAAGAAGCAATACAAACTAATTGAATTTCATCCATTTGTTATTTCAAAAAAAAACAAACAAACAATAAATTGACATTAAACAATAGTTCACAAGGTAAATTCAACTAAAGAAAACGGTTAATACATTCAATCTGTAAAGAACCATGATAAAGAATTTTTTGTTTTTATTTCTTTCTTAAAACTTTCAAACAAAATTAATAATATTAATCATTGTAATATAAATTGTCAAATATTATTAATTTTATCAGAAAGACAATTCAACTGAAAGACTAAAATGAAGTACTCAATAATAATAACAGAACTGTATAACTTGCTCAAAACAATCTAAATTTATAAAACTAATTTTAATTTTCATATGTATCCTTATTCACAGTTACTTGAATATTTAATTTTAAATCTGAAAGTTCTTTTTGAAGTGAAATCCATCTACCCCCCCCAAAAAAAAATAAGAAAAGAAAATAAGTGATATTACATTAAAACAATCAGTTGGATTAAGAAAATAAACTGTTCTTAAAAATATAACCCATAATGTCATTGAATAAGTGAAAGAGAATTCAGTGGAGAAAATTTTCTTTGTTATTTAATCTTGAATCCATTTTATGATGTGATCTTTTCTATTCTCCTATAGACATATATTTTCCATATATAACTATATATACGAATGTACAGTTTTCTTTGTTGAATACTCTTTTTTTGTTATTAAAAAAATAACATAACAGCTTAATCATTGAAATAGATTAATGAAAACAATGGTTAAGGTATTTATCTTAAGTATTGTTTAATGTAAAATATTACTGAAGGCAATTTTTAGTAGAGTTAACATACCTTATATTGAACTATACTACTAGTATTAAACTAAAATGATTTGAAGATGTACGCTTAAGTTTTGAGCTACTTTGTGTGGAATATAGTCAAAATGTAAGGCATAAAGAGAAACTATAACATTAGAAGTTACTTTTATCGTTCGTATGAATTTCAAAAGTGAAAGTATAACACTTAGTAGTTATTTATCACCTATTTTGTACGAAAGAAAAATACAGTTACAAAGCTTAAAATTAATGGTTGTAATTGATATCAATTATAATGATGTGGTGAAAATATTAAATTTTCAGATGAATCACAATCGCTAGACTGAAGTTAAAAATAATGCAAAGCCGCTTGTGACTTAATAAAAGAGTTATTTACATTTACTGTAGTATCTATCATTTCTATTAAATATATTTCTGTTCTTCAATCTCATGTACTATATATGTATACTGAAGATCTTACAAATGGGATAATATTGTTCATCCATAATTTTAATTTTCAAGTGGTAAACACACATTTATACAACCATTTAAAAATTTCAACGATTTTCAAACAACGACTCAGCTAATGTATTCACTTAATTATTACCAATAATAATTGTAATACAAGTATACACAATACAGACATAAAAGTAACATGAAGAAGATTTGTAGCTCAGGTGAGTCATTTTGATGGAGTTACTTTCTCTGAGCTAGGTGGATTAGTCAAATTTAACCATCCAGGTAAAAGAAAAAAAAGTTTTTCAAAATACAATCCCGTAATATATATAACGATCAAAAAATTATCATTACCTTTGTTCAAGTTCTTGATGCTGCCATCATTAACAAAAGAAGCAAAATAACATCAATAATAATAATTATTATTATGATTTTGATATGAACAATTAGACAAAAGTTTGCTGACTCATCATAAGTACGAGAAACATAATGAAATAACTCATTAAATAAATAAATTTTATGATTACATATGATTTTTTCTAATTTCTTTACCGTTATAGTTGAAGTTCTTAACGAATATACGGAACTGATAAGTTTAATTCTGATGACGATGCTCGTGTTTGAGTCACAATTCCTGTAAATGGCTAGTGATACTACTAATTGACTATCTAAACTAAATTCAGTTGGATCTGATTCGAACATGTAACTTAAGAGCAGAAAATTAGATGCCTTAATTAGTAAGCTACCGTTTCAAATTAGAAGGAATTGAATCTAGCTTCTCTTCTTTGTTTTCCTGTAATAATTATTTAAACTAACTAATTCTTAAAATTATGGTAAACATTTCATTATATGTATGTGTATGATTAAGATAGTAATCGTTTAATCATGATACAAAATAACTTTGCATTTAAACAAATTTCATTCATCAACAATGAAAGTTAGATAACTTCTCAAGGAAAATATTTATTCCTTTATACAACTAATTAATGTTAAAATATTCGTTGAAGAAAAAAAAATTCTAGTCAATAATTATGACAATAATGAATAATGAACTTACGGCTAATATATTTTCTTCAACTTTTGTAGAGATTAATGTTACATGTTGTAAGAAGGTTTCAAAACTGAAATTTAAATATAAATAAGTCGTATATACATTTTTACAAAATTATATAATATATAAATGACATATTTTTTTCGTAATGGATTATTTCAACGAAATGTATTTGGTTTCAGCTGTTTATATCAGAAGATTAAATTTGTTAGTGAATTAGTTTATTTCAAAATTGATTACTTGATTTAATATTATGAATTAGTGAATGTAAATAAAATACTAACCATTTTCATAAGCTGGAAAAATTTTTTTTCTCTGAATAGACTAACATGTATAAACAAAATAATTTTATGGGTTAATGCAGGTGGATCTAGTTGTATTCAATTTCAATATGAAACAAACATGAAAAATATACCTCATGAGAGAATTAGGATTGGGACAAATGCAAGTGGATAATACGATTGTGTTAGTTGTATTTTGACAACTGAATTTATGGATGGAAAGAACAGCTATTCAAACGGATGGTAATAATTTTATCCTGATTTTTATCGGTTACAGATATGTCAAAAAAAGTGATTCATTAACTGTGAAGAGTGGAATACAATTAAACGAAAATGATATTTATTGTTTAAATCACAGTTAATTGAATTCTTTGAGTAAATTCGGATGATTGTAATAAGCGAAATACTAGACAATATGTTAAACTATCATAATTTCAATCCCTATAAACATGTTACTTTTTAGAATACATTCAACCTTTCAGAATTCAGATCACTTTCTAACGAATTACAAGGGTTTGAACTTGTTTTTCTGTAGTTCAAATGGATTTAATGTAACAGAATTATTAAACATTTTGCAAATCAAAGAAAGAAAAGTTTATCCCGTAAATAATTTATGATTTTTATTAATAATTCAATGCACAACAAGACTTGTGATGAAAACTACTGCCAAATTACGTATTCGATTTTGTCATTGTTTATGATATCTTATTTGTACAAACCATCGAAAAGTTATTACTTTACATGGGTATATTTATATCCAATATAGTGAAAATAAATTTACTATCACTCCTACTTACATGTAAAATAGAATGTATACAAATTACTTTGTTGAAAACAGAAAAAAAATTACATTAGAACACAATATTGACAGAACTCATATTAATTAGTAATCAATCTAGGATGTAACAGGTGATATAGAATAAACATGATACCACGCAAACTACATTGAACGAAGTAAGTATAAGTTACATGAATTTTCAATTATGAAAATTTGAATTTTTGGATGATAAAATTATTTCAAGACAGTTAAACGCAGCAAAAATTTACTTTACTGATAAAAAAATGAAATTTATAGTCAGTTTTAAACAAAAGAAAAGTATATTGAGAAAAAATCTCTTCGAAGCTGTTTTCTTTTTAAATAAATGGTCATCTCTATAGACAGAAATAATTTCACATATGAATTTAATGATGACACAAAATCTACTTTACTAAGGGATTGATCAAGTGAGACTATAATTTATGAACGACCTTCGAGCAGTGCTAAAATCGCCTTAGAATGTACATCTACTTACTAAGGTTGGATGAAGGTCATAGGTTATGGTGAGAAATAAGGATTCGGATTTCCAGCTGATGGTGAGGCTTAGGAATAATATTCAATGTTTTCATCACGAACTGACATCGGCTATGATGCTAAAAATGGTGTTAACCCAAATGAGTGAATGAATTTCAAGACTTGAAGTTTTAAATTTGATTGGTTCATCTACAAATTATAGGCTCGCTGATTGATCAATAAGATAAAATGAACTAAGGAACTTATTAAAATTTACTAAATGAGATTACAGATCGAAGTATGAAACTTAGTTATACATTGAAAATTAATTACTGATAATCATGAATAAAAATAGGCCTAGCTTTTATTTAAAAGATAAATATTCCAACAGATTAGAACAATGTGTTTATGGGAAAATTGATGAAGTTGAGTAATAAGTAACAGTTGTTAGATATACGAATGATATTGTAAAAACAACTAACACTCTCATAATTTGGTGAATTTTATTAGGATTTTATATGACCACTTTAAGATGCTACCATACAATAACTATAAAGAATGATGCAATTTTTAACTTGTACAAACTTCTCATATTGGTCATTCATTTCACTATACTTATAGGTACGTGGTAGGATAAAACTATGTAACAGAATAGATATCTACCTACTGAATTAGAGTCATCACTTTTCAATGTTTCCTGGATAATGATAGCTAGTAAAACGAAAACGTGAAATTAAAGCATCAAAAGCTACCATTTTATTCTTGTAAATGTTGCTTTTATTGTATGAGAATCCTCTCTCAACTTTTAAAACACGAGTTTAACAGTTATAAGCAACGTAGCACGTGTGTTGAAGCTTATACAGAACAGATATGAAAACTTGGAACTTTTGGTCTTAACTCTAATTAAATGAAATGCCTTCTTCACTGTGAATCGGATAAACAAAATCTTTTATGATAAGTAGCCCAGAGTATCCTGTCAATGTAACAACGCAAAAACAAACACAATGACGTAAAGACGTTTATTTTATGTCTAAATATCAAGTAATTTATCATTCTACTTCTCTCTGTTAGGTTAACTGTCATACAAATGTAACGGATGAATGAAATCTCATAATCGATATAAGTCACTGTTCAAGTTTTATGGAGATCACCAAGTATAGCTCTGATTGTATTCAAATCCAATTAACTTGAACTTCAATTATCGCAATAAATAAAATTAAAGTAAAATCACCAACTTACTTCATAGGTGAACATACTTCCAATTCTTTCGAGCTAGTCTACAATAAAAAAAATTACAAAATACAATTAACGCTGTTAAATATTTAAATCGACAAAGTGGATGAAAATATATGTTTAGAAGATCTTGAATAATGCTATTACTTACATTATACAAACTGTCAGGTAGAGGAGATCGGTCGAATGAATTTCGATTAAACTGTTCTGTAGTTCCATTCCATTCATCGTTTAGAGCTTTTGGTTTGTTTGATTCTAATTCAATGATGTTGAAAACTGACAAATTCTTATCACATGAATTTTCTTCTAGAATCTATTTGATGACAATGCCAATGTATAACTCATTAATAAATAAATATTTAAGATAATTAAAATATTTTATAGAAGTTAGTATTATGAAAAGCATTCAATAGAACTTGTATAATAAATCAAACTTTATTTATGAGAATAGCTATAAAATATGACATTTAATGAAATTAATAAATCACTTATTGCTAATATATCGCTGGAAGATGAGCGAAAAACCAGTATTCATAGAATAATGATAAAATACGTAAACAAGTGTCCACTAATGATGACTCTCAGGTAAACAATGTATGCTATGTTAGAAAATATCAATTCCACCTGTAACCTTGAGGGTAATAAGGAAGGATAAAGAAGGAGGAATAAGACTGATACAATAGTTTGTAGCATATAGCTCATGTAAAAAAATATTCCACATAAATGATGTGGAATTTAAAAAATGTCGACATAAATTTGTCTGGAGAAAGAACACAAACTAAAAAGGAAACTTAGAAAATTATGACTCATTAATCGGTGAACTTATCACTTTTGAACAAACTTATCAAAAGGGTCAAGTCCACTTAATTTAGTACTTTTGAACTTAAGTGTTCATCGATCTTGGTGTACGCAACCATAACAAAGACTTGGTATGTTAGGCTTGTTTCCAGTGAGATAATCTGTAATCTGTACCAATTAAACTGAGTGTACCTTGATGTTTAGCCAATACCATAAAAGACGATTAGTAAGCAGCAAAATCAAAAGTAGTGTAAGAACCATTGTGATAAATATCTATGTGGTGGAAATCAAACGCAATACAGCACATTGCTTCACAACTTTTCAGAATTGGTAATATTTTCAACACTTAGTCCAGCGTAAGATATTTTTCCTTTTTTCACCCGGACAGATTTAGCCTTTCGATACAGTACTGTTCGATAAAAGATGAATATAACTATTTGAAAAACAACAAATGTAAGCCTGAAAACATGCATCTTCGTTCAACTTCTCAGTAACTGGCTGATAGTTTAATTCATATGAATTCACTTGAACTATTTAAAGGAATGACAGGAAATCTTTGTGATATTTCACATTGCTTGAGTATTTTTGAAAATACCTAAAACAATGATCACAGGATACCTTCAAATTTTTACAGATTATTTTTCAATCACACAAACACCTTTGAATTATTTTTTAGCGTTTATATTTAACTGTTACAAACACTCAAACGAACTGAAACTTATTACAACAATCCACAAGTTGTTTGTAAAAGTAATCTAAAGAGACATATTATACATTCTCAATCCAGGAGATAGGATCGATGGACAGGACACTTTAGGGATCAATTCAACTGGCCTTCAGCCGCACTTCAGTTTCCCACGATCTCCAGTCAGTTTGGCTAATATAGTGTCTAAAATATTAGCTTCAATAATACTTCGACGTCTAACCAAAGCTCGTGAAGAGCAGACTAGAGAAAACCAGGCTGGTTTCCGACCTGGACGTGGTTGTAAAGATCAAATATTCACACTACGTCAGGTCCTAGAATATAGACACACATTCAGACGCCCCACAATGGTAGTATTTCTCGACCTTAAGGCGGCATTTGACTCTGTTGATCGTGAGATTCTATGGCAGTGTTCGTCACTGAAAGGAGTACCAAAGAAGTACATTAACCTTATAAAGGCTCTCTACACGAACACAACTGGTAGAGTGAGAGCTTATGGTGAACTGTCATCAGAACTGATTATCTCAAGTGGTGTTCGTCAGGGCTGTCCACTCTCTCCATTCTTGTTTAACTTTGTCGTTGACGTGTTTTTAGAGATGACACTTTCCTCATCTGAATTTCTAGGAGTTGAACTTCTACCGGGGGATTCACTTGTTGACATAGTTCGATTTGGTGAAGACGCTGACAAAATGCAGAGTCTGCTGACCACTCCAAGAAACAATGCAGTCATGTTCGGGATGCGATTCTCTCCTTCAAAATGCAAAATGTTGCTTCAGGATTGGGTTGCGTCGACACCCGAACTAGTAATAGGGAGTGAAGTAGTTGAGCGTGTCGACCGCTTCACTTATCTCGGAAGTCTCATCAGCCCTTGTGGTCTGTTGTGTGACGAAATCTCAGCACGGATACAGAAGGCTCAACAAGATTTTGTCAACTTGCGTCATTTATGGTGTAGACGAGATATCCGTCTATCAACCAAAGGACGGGTTTACTGCGTAGCAGTTCGTTCCGTCCTACTTTATGGCAGTAAAATATGGCCGGTAAGAGTAGAGGATATTCGTAGGTTACTAGTAAGACGGCTGGGACATGTGTTACGTATGCCCAACCAACGACCGCAACGACGTGCGATGTTTTATGGTGAAGGAGTAGGTTGGAAAGCTAGGGGCGGCCAGACCAAAACATGGCACAAATCCATGAAGTCACTGACAAGTGGACTGAGCCATGTTGGTAGGTGTAGACTACTTGGTTGGGGACCGCGAGATGATACAAACCGATGGTTAGAGACCTTGAATGACATGGCTCGAAATCGTATGCAATGCCGTAGGTGCATCCAATCTGAGTGTTCTCCCAAATTCTAATCTTCTGAATTCTTCATGTCCCTTTTATTCCTCTTTCCAAATTTATTTCACTGTATTATACTCCTTGAATAATATCTTCAAACCCTAATCTTTCCGATTACTGCTTATACTCTTACTACCTCTAATATCGTATGGTAACTCGAACTGAAGTACGAAGTTATTCGTTGTTACTGAGTGAGTTAGTAAAGTCTAAAACGGTTAAGTGACATATTTTAGCAAACCTGAAAAATGAGCTGTAGTTGCACGTTATAAATAAATGTATCAACAAATTCACTGAGTTTCACGTAATAACCACTAATCAAGTAATATATTTGAATGGTTCTGTTAATGTTTAGAAAGACCAGGAATTATACTGATGTTTTATCCAAAACGCTTGCATATAAACTTCGACTTAATAGACTGATACAAGGATTGTTCAAACTAAAGGTAGTTCATATAAATTCAATGGTATAAATAAATCATGTACAACTAATTATTACCAAAATGAATCAAATAAATTGGAAGTGAACTTAAAAACAAATTGGACTAGGATCTGGGAAAGCACTATCGTCATATACTTTCCAGATTGTAGTGAAGTACATATCATGAACATGTTATTTTGTAAATGCATGGACATTAATTCAGCTCTTCTTAGAAAATTCGTCGATAAGACAAAGGTAATATATACTATAACAATCCCCACATAGCACAAACAACCGAGTAGTTGGATAAATGTTTAGTATTAGAAATTTTTTATTTAAAATTACGTTAACTATTTTCTAAAACGTGACCAAGAGCACAGAATTTACAAGTCATAAGAACGGGAGTAAATATGCCTATGAGTAATTAAAGCCATTTACAAGATATTTGAAAGAGGACAATGTTATGAAGACAGACAGTTATATCATACACAATTAATATAATAAATTAGCTTACATGTTTTTCACTAGTTGATTTACAGTTCTCTTTATTGGTCTGATTGATTGATGTGAATATAGTAAGTGGAATAACATTAGTTCGTTTTCCCGTTTCAAAATGTTTGGGAAAATGTTTTGGAGGAGTCATTGCAAACAAACTTGCAGCACTCGAAGTATCGCTAAGTTGAGGTGAATAGTTATTTGAACCACGTTTCTCTAATTCAATATGAGGACTAATAAAAACTAGTGAAGAATTTTTATCACATGGTTTCGTACATAACCCTCTAAGTTTATCAGACAATTTAGCTGGTTTCCAAGAACGCGACATAATATCATCATCGTTTGAGTCGACGATTTCATCATCAGGATCCACGATCTCCACATTGAAGTCCTGATCACTAAAAACATAATTATTCAAAATAAATTTTTATTTTGAATGAAATTGTAAATGTGGAATATATTCAGCGTTACTGCACCAAACTCCGCCTGTAGTTCTTCCAGAGTTACTGCCGGTCCTAAACCCGTAGAAAACTAACTCGCTAAAAATACACTAACCAGAAAAAATAATTCAAACCATTTAAACTCTGCCCTGGGAGTAAGAAGGTCTTCATTTAGAAGAAATATGACGCCTCAGGGTGAAAGCCGAGTTCTTTCGGAAGCCATGAAGCCGATGCCCCTTCTAACAAACAGAGCAACAATTTTTATAGGTACATGGAACGTCCGGACAATGTGTGAGACCAGGAAGACCAGTCAAATAGCAACAGAAATGAGGAAATGCAAATTGGCAGTATGGGGAATCAGCTAAACCCATTGGACCCAAGCTGGACAACAAAGGCTAAAAACGGGAGAGATGCTGCTATACTCCGGTCACAAAGAGGAAAATGCTCCACACACTCAAGGAGTTGCTCTAATGCTTTCCAAAGTAGCACAAAATGCACTTGTAGGATGGGAATCTCACGGATCCAGAATCATCAAAGCATCATTCAAAACAAAGAAGGAGGGGATCACAATGAATATTATTCAATGTTATGCACCCACCAATGATCGCAACGACGACATTAAAGATCAATTTTATGAGTGGCTGCAATCAATCATACAGAAGTGCCCAAGAAAAGACCTAACCATTCTGATGGGAGATCTAAACGCCAAAGTCGGAATGGACAACACCGGATGTGAAGATATCATAGGACTGCATAGACTGGGAGAGAGGAACGAAAACGGGGAAAGATTTGTAAATCTGTGTGCATTCAACAAATTGGTCATAGGCAGCACAATATTTCCACACAAACGTATACACAAAGCTACATGGATCTCACCGGACCACACCACAGAGAACCAGATAGATCATATTTGCATCAATAAAAAGTTCCGAAGGACAATGGAAGATATGAGAACCAGGAGAGGAGCGGACATAGCTTCAGATCATCACCTGGTTGTGGCCAATTTAAAACTGAAGCTAAAGAAGGACTGGACAACTAGACAAACATCTCTGCAAAGATTCAATACAGCCTTCCTTCGAGAAACCGACAAACTCAATGAATTCAAGATAGCTCTCAACAACAGGTTCCAAGCCCTACAAGATCTACTGAAGGAAGAAGAAACTACTATGGAGCACAAATCGAAAGGTATCAAAGAAGCATTAACTTCAACGTATCAAGAGGTTCTGGGCCCCAAGAAGCATCATCACAAGGAATGAATCTCTACAGAAACACTGGACAGGATCAAAGAAAGGAAGAACAAGAAGACAGTAATTAACAATAGTCGAACACGAGCAGAGAAAGTCCAAACACAAGCTGAGTGCATAGAAGCAAACAAGCAAGTGAAGAAGAGCATTAGAGCCGACAAGCAGAAATACGTGGAAGAACTAGCAACGACGGCGGAGAAAGCTACAAGAGAAGGAAATATGAGACAGTTTTAAGATACAATGAAGAAACTAGCAGGGAAATATTGTAGACCAAACAGACCGGTCAAAGACAAAGAACGCCAGTCAATCACTGAGATTCAAGGACAGAGGAACATATAGGCAGAGTATTTTGAGGAACACTTGAATAGACCAGCTGCATTGAAACCACTGGACATCGAAGCAGCACTCACGGATCTTCCTATAGATGTCACTCCATCAATGACCAAAGAAATCAGGATGACCATCAGACAAATCAGGAGCGGGAAAGCAGCAGGACCCGATAATATACCAGCTGAAGCACTGAAGTCAGACATAGAAATAACTACAAACATGCTTCATCTTCTATTCAAGAAGATTTGGGAGGAGGAACAAGTGCTGATGGACTGGAAAGAAGGACACCCCATCAAGATTTCAAAGAAAGAAGACCTGAGCAAGTGTGAAAACTACAGAGGCATTACACTACTGTCAGTACCAGGGAAAGTCCTTAACAGAGTGTTGATGAACCGGATGGAAGACGCAGTAGATACCCAACTTCGAGATCAACAAGCTGGATTCCGTAAGGACCGGTCGTGCACAGACCAAATTGCGACAAAACGGATCATCGTCGGAAAATTAGTTGAGTGGAATTCGTCACTGTACATCAACTTCATTGATTATGAAAAGGCATTTGACAGTGTAGATAGGAGGACGTTATGGAAAATTCTTCGACACTACGGAGTTCCTGAGAAGATTGTCAACATTATCCGCAACTCATATGACGGACTACAGTGCAAAGTAGTGCATGGAGGACAGCTGACAGACGCATTCCAAGTAAGGACCGGAGTCAGACAAGGCTGTCTACTCACTCCCTTCCTGTTTCTTCTGGTGGTCGACTGGATTATGAAGACCTCGACATCTGAGGGAAAACACGGCATACAATGGACAGCTCAGAACCAATTAGAAGATTTTGACTTCACAGATGACCTACCTATCGCCCACCTATCGCATACATACGAACAAATGCAGATAGAGACAGCCAGCGCAGCAACAGTTTCTGCATCAGTAGGCCTCAACATACACAAGGGGAAAATCAAAGTCCTCAAATACAACATGGAGACCAGCAATCCAACCACTCATGATGGCGAAACTCTGGAAGATGTAGAATCCTTCACATACTTGGAAAGCATCATCGATAAACAAGTAGGTTCAGATGCAGACGTAAAGGCAAGAATTGGCAAAGCAAGGGCCGCATTCCTTCAATTAAAGAACATATGGAACTCAAAACAACTTTGAACGTCAAGGCAGTTCTATTGTACGGAGCTGAAACGTGGAGAACTACAACAACCACCATCAAGCAGGTACAAGTATTTATCAATAGCTGTCTACGCAAGATACTCAACATCCATTTTCCGGATACCATCAGCAACAGCCTTCTGTGAGAGACAGCAAACCAGCTTCCAGATGAAGAAGAAGTTAGGAAGAGACGATGGAAACGGATAGGACATACATTACGCAATTCATCAGACTACATCACGAGACAAGCGCTAACTTGGAATCCTGAAGGGAAGAAAAGAGGAAGGCCAAAGAACACATTACGTCGGGAAATAGAATCAGATATGAAAACGATGAATAAGAACTGGAAAGAGCTGGAAAGGATTGCCCAGGACAGGGTTGGATGGAGAATGCTGGTGAGCGGCCTATGCTCCTTTACGAGGAGTATCAGGAGTAAGTAAGTAAGTAAGTTACTGCGCTAAATGAACACCATATACTAAAGATATGTTCTGTGTTGACTAAATTATTTTTTGGCTATATAAAGGCACGGCAAAATGTTTGATGATTACTCCTCGATAAACAGAACTTCTATTAAAGCTTGCTCTGTTAAATGTTAAGAAGTAATCGGCACGAAATATTAAACTTATATTACGTGCCAGTTGGGAATAATTGGTAAGTTGTATCTAAAATTCCAAGGCAAATTATATTACAATACGACATTCAAAACCTAGTTCATCAATGCAGAGTTCAGAGACGCTAACTTCAGCTTCCTCGAGTCATGATTAATCTTCCATAAGATATGGATGTTTAAACTAAGTGATCTCGTGGTGGAAATTTACTTCATACTGTCTAGTACTTATTAAAAAGGATAGAATAATTGATTATAAGTCTAGATAATTTGACCCTAATGTTAGAAAGTCACCTTACAAAAATACTAGTCTGATAAAGTGGAACACTGGTTTCTATTGACCGAATCGTTAAAATGATCGACGATAATACAATTTTGTGAGCTTCGTTTTATTGGGTGCAAGATCAGACTCCTAATATATATATTCGCGGAGTGGATAAGTGTAAGTATCAAGATTAAATTATCTTCAGATCATACTCTACATTTCATTGTTATAGGTTTATAGACTCACGCACGTTTCTTATCGTGCAGTGACACGAATGACAAAACATCGTATTGGTTAAGTGATAATCATTAATAATGTTGTAATGCTTATCTAGTTTATAAAAGTCTTATTATTTCCTAGTGTTCTTTATCATATAGATTACGTAAGAATTGTTTTCTAATCAACAATAGATTTATTATTTTACATTTAATGTTTATGTTCAAACTTTAATAAATTAACATCGATCAAAAAGATACAAGGCATGATTTCTAAAATACAGTAAATATTATCGTTAGACAAACCTATTGACAGCTTTCAATACACCACTAAAGATGGTAAATGATTTTATACTATCAATAATATTAAATTAGATATATGAAGACGAGAGATTAGAACACATGCTTAATTGTAGAAATGAAATTTTGATCAGATATAAGAGAGGGTCAATTTATAACACATTTTTTGAAGTTAACCAATGAGTAGAAAGATGTTTAAATAAAAATAATGTTTAGATAACTAATCTCAATATTTCAGAGATACATGTCATAATAAGTATTATGTATGGTTTAATTGCTCGTAATGCATTGCACAAGTATATCATATCATTCTGATAATCTTTATCTTTTCATTGCATGATCTAAATGAATTAACAGGCTGACATAATACAAAACAATAGATTATTAAAAGCTACTAAAACTGTTGATTTCTTGTTACGTATAAATTTAGACGAATCTCTTAATTTATTATAAATAGAAAATTTTTTAAATAGAATATAGCCAACTTAATAAGTAGTAATCAACTGTTACCCAGCGTAATGAATGAACCATACTGGTATAAAGGTTACAAAACACGATTTGCATGGATTAGTAATGAGGAACTATAAATATTGTCACAAATTTGATTTCCACCATTTTCTAAATTCTGGTACAAAAATATTTATCACATACCTATCAACTGGCATTGAATGAGGCAAAATCGCTCTATGAACTGCCTCTTTCATAGTTGGAAGAGGATTAGATGTAGACTTATTTGCTAAAATGAAAAGTTGAGAAACCATTACTGGATTTAAAATAAAAGTGTTGAAAAAAGAAATAATTACCTGCAAAAAATTGAAACATCCTTGTTAATTTTTTTCCAAAAACAAACATTAGATAAATACATAAGAATTGTTAGAACTGTTTAAAAGTAAGAAATTGTTGTGTTTCAAAACACTGACAAATAAAGGAATAAGTCCTAACCGATATGCGAATACATAACACTATCATGAGCACAAAAACATTGGCACAAAAGTAATATATGTTTGTAAACTATTAGTAAAAGATCTATTATTATGTAAATATAAGGATTGACCTTCTAAAATTAAATCCCAGATAATGGGACAATATTCAAGATCATAACTGTGCACACTACATCACGTGGCATGCACAATATTCGACTTACAATTGAGAACTAAATTAAAGATACAGAATAGTTTATTTATTCAAAGCACAAGAAGTCAAGCACAGTTTTGCCTTAGTAAAATTCTCCAATTTATCACTAGTGCAGTCAATAGCGGCAAACAGTTTGCAATATCGTACAGTGTTTGACACATTTAGCATACCTGGATATCTATTATCACTCAATAAACAATTATGTCTTAGTCAACACATCAAGACCATTATTAAATCATCGGTATCTACATCAAACGCAATTTACCTCACAACTGATTGAACAACGAGTAGTGATAATATCATGTTTGTCTGATTCTTTTAGTGCTGATAGAACATTGTTGAGAATGTTGTAATATAATGACTAGATAAACGTGACAATGGCTATTACTCAGTGGTTAATCAGCTGGAAATATACATCAGTTCTATAGGAAGTCAGTCGCTGCCCGATCAACTTAATGATAGCATCTAAAATCATGAAGCTGGGTGACAAGGAATCGAATCCGCTGTGCCAATGAGGTATGGCAACTTGAACCAATATACACACAACCACGTTCCGCGTTGTGTGCCATATAAAAAATACAGATTAACACTCCAACCTAAAATATATTAATTCTCAGAAATGCTGAACATTAAAATAAAGGTTTTCGATTAGTAAGCTATATTTAAACTACATGGAGACCATCCAGATGAAAGAAAAATTCTAGAAGCAAATGTTAGCTTGTACCAGTTTTATGACACAATAAAATTAATTGTAACATTTTTGAACTATTTATTAAATTTAAACAACTTTCCAAATAAAAAAAACCTAAGCATTAAATTCATTCGATAGAAACTTTATGGAGATCTTTTAATTTAAAGTTGTTTTTCATCATGACCTGACTTCATATGAAGAACTTTTGAAAACCATACAGTTACTTTATCAGTTTCAAACTCTTTTTCAATGCTTACAACATACGACTATATTCGGGATCAATAGGCCTCGTTTAATATCAGTATTATCAGTCCTTGTTTTCCGCTCACATTAATTCATGATAATCTAATATTTATATATATTACTTATGGAAGTCAACCGTCACGGACATTGGTGACGATTATTACATTTATTGATTGACGAAAATTAACATTTATGTAACGGTCAAGTTTTTAAAATGTAAAACACAATTCACCCAATCATAAACAGCATAAAAATAATAATAAATGACACATAAAAATGTATGTTTGAAAAAAAACTAACATTGTTGATCTCTTTGATCATTGTCTGTTACTTTTAATTTCTTCTGATTTTCATTTTTTAAACACTTTTTCTTTGATTTCAGTGTTTTTTTATTCACATTCGAAATTTCACATGCATTTTGAAATCGTTGTTTTTCTTTTTCAAATCTTTCTGAACGAGTAGTAGCAAAGAATTTTTTCTTTTTAAATGTAGACACTGGTTTTATTATTTTATGTTTATTTATAGGTGTTTCTGTCAATGTATGAGAGATAGATGATAATGATGTTTGTGAAAGATTTGAGGATAGAATATCATTTTTTAATTGTGATGACTTCATATCCAATTTAGTAACGGTTTCTAAATTATTTTGACTTCTATTTAACAATCGTGCACTTCTTCTTCTTTCAGTTGAATTAAAAGAATCAAGTCGAACGCGAAGTGGTTGATAATCTACATCTGAAGAATCGTTTGATTCCAAAGATGATGTGAATATAGTTTTAGACGATGATGAAGATTTATCAAGTTCATGTAATATTTGGTCGTTTATTTGATTATCTGTAAAAAATAAACATAAATAGTTAAAGAAAATGAATTTATTCACAGCATTTTGCTTAGTTTGTTACATTTACAAATAACCAATAAACTGGTCATTACAATAAATTATCATGAAAAGATTTTACTTCCAGTACGATAATATACATTTAATAATTTTAGAATTAAAAAAACCAAAACAATTAGTGATAAGCAATTACAAACAAAGACTAAATAAAAATAAATGATTCGAAGTTATGGACTACAATATTTAATGATATATCATAAAAATCTCAGAAAAATACATTAAATGTTACATAATTTACATTTTTTTATTTGTAAATGTAATACAATCATCACTAATGATTTGAAATTGAAAAAGAACTAAATTTTAGTTAAGCAAACATTTGACATATGAATGTATGTCATATATTTTCTGCTTGGACGCTTATTACTGAATTTCTAGCCACTTTTTACATCTCCAAACCACTTATTAACCTGAACTCGAACAACAAACGAAAGGTGCAAAGTCAATATGATAACAACGTATGAAGTAATCCCCATGAAACGTGACATATTATCCTTCACTTTTCTAGATGTTTCTAAAAAGCTTTTATTCAACGCTGATTGGATAAAACATTTGCTTCCTTTTCTGGGTTTTTAGAAACTTTGTCAAGGGATAACTGTAAGCTCTTAACATTGTATTTGGTAAGCGATCATATAACTATGAGAAAAAATGTGTTTATTAGTTGACCTAATGCAGCTTATAGAACTGTATATTATCCATCTGTTTTCTGCAGTGGTTGGGCCGCAGATTTCAGCATTATTTCATTATGATTTTCTACTTATCTTTGTAGTATTAAGACTGAAAGAAAAATAATAATATTGTGAAGAAGTAGAAGACGACGAACTCATACATTTGAGAAGCAAATAAACAGAAAATGTTGTGTCATTTATATATATATATATATATATATATATATTATTCACGGTCTACTAATTTTTTGTACAAATATTAGCAGTTAAATAACGTATCAAAGAAAACATGAGGGTTAATTAAATTTTAAAAAGACACTGATTATGATCATAATTTATCATTATGTAAAATTATATACAAAAGTTTAAACAATTAGACACAAGTGACTTACCGATCTTGCGCTTAGTAGTTAATTGTTTGGAACCTCTTCGTGTTTTTCCCTTTAATGTAACTTGTGTAGATAGTTTGGGTAATGATACAACTATAAAGATAATTGGAATTAATCAATGTGGTTATATCAATCTTTAAAATTGACAAAATTATGTTTCTATGAGATTGAAAAGCGATTTCTTGTCTTAAACTGAAGAAAATACCTTTAGTGTTCTAAACGAAATCCTATTAAGTAAAATTAAGTAAATATAGGATATAGACAGAAGCTGCATAGGGCTTCTAAGATTAATAATTTATGGAATTTATAACTAAATCAGATAGGCTCAGATAGAAGTGTTGATGTTGTACTTATTTTTTAATACCGAAAGCATTTCTAAAACTTCCCTTTTAGAGCTGAATTAGATAAATTGTATGACAAATTTAGTTAATGGTTCCAAAGAACACCAGCCTAATTATTGTCTAAATAAATCAGAAGTAAAAGTAAGATGAATAGTATGGTTAAATGCATAAAATACTTTTAAATTCACTGGCATTTGAAGCCTAGGTGAACGCATTTTATGGTGTTACGTTTTCAGAGCTAGTCATTTTATTATTCTGGATATCATCAGAACCTACTTCGAACAGCAGGAGGCAAATTAATCAGAAATAATCCATTTCAATGACAACCTACAATCTAAACAAGCATGACATATCATTCAGTCATGCATTACATCACCTCAAAATTGATTAATCGTTACATATTACTAGAACACGTCGCTCGAAGAGATGAACATATATTCTGAGCTAAATAAAAAAGTAAACTGTCTTAATTTAATAACTCCACTCATAGGTATTAGCTACAGTTTGAAACCACAAAGTAATGGAATCAAAGTATCCTGTACAGTGAATAAAAGAATGATTAACAGAATATCTCTATTATTCAAAGATTTTAAAATAATGAAATGTCATTAATATTACCTGTATATTCTTCAGGAGTAAGTGGACAACGAACTCCCTCAGGTGAAATATCCAGAAGATAAGAAGCTGATATATTACAAAGCTTTTTCGTCGAAATAGATAAAGACTGGTTTGCAGATGAGCAGAAGCTTCTACCAGTTAAAAGTGAACTTTTGCATTTGGATTTAGAAGTGATAAGTTTTAAATAGGAAGACATAGGAGGAACATTATGAAGTGGAGAGTCATTTCCCACCAATGATGATAGTGATAGAGAAGTATCAGGTTCTGGGACTTCAGATTCGCGAGTGCGTAAGTTTGAGTCATCTTGTTTTCCTGAAACCTGTTCAAACAGTAAATGTTTTAGAAACTTTTTTACAATTTGCTGAATTTGGTTAAGTATCCGGCTTAAGAAACAAGTTGAATAAATCATACTCATTAAGAAAAGAACATCAAATTTATCAGCTTCTCTGTAGCTAAACACACTGGCAGAGATAACAGCATGAAACAGAAACCAACTATAAAATCTACCGAATCAACAAAGTGAACTATAATGCCCAAAAAGATGAGTTCAACTTGAATAAAACATTATCATCAAAATCACAAAAAAACCTATCAGACAATGATTACATGTTTGTATCGAATGTTCCAGATTTGCAATATAATGACAACGCGATCACCTAGCTGAAAACATATCTTCTTGATTGGTCCCAAAAATTAAAAAAGTCATTCTGTACTACAACATTAGACTTTACCAAATACAACCTTACGTTACACCTAAATTCTGTACAAATCTGTTTTTAGAAATCTTTGATATTTTACATAGCTTACATATCTACTGTAAAAGTAGCCACAAATTGAAAAATTTGAACAGCTCATTAGCTTGAATATGATAGCAAATGATATTTAAGGGCTGAAGATATTCAGTAGCTGCATAAGTGACAAATATTTTAATCATCATGAAAATATAGGAAGAAATTGGTCATCATGTGATTACTAGTGACTAACTTCGAGAGTACGTTCCTGTAGTTTCATTGACAACAGTGATCAGCGGATTTAACACATGTCAGGTCTGAGACATTTATCTACCGAAGAAAATCGAAGATGGTCATCTAATGTCATGGATTGATTTAAATTAGTCATTAAAACTGTTAAAGGCTGGCTCAGTGGTCTAGAAATTAGGCTTTTGGGAGAGACTGAAGGTCGTGGGTTAGATTTTCGCGTGCGGGTTAGTGAATGCGCACTGCCGAAGTCTTATACTAGGAGGAAACGGCCGTTCAGTGCTTCCAGGTTTTCAGTCGTTGTCTGACTTTGATCGGTTTATGGTCTTAATGAAATTCAACAATCTCCACAATAACATATTAACAAAGATCAACTCATTGACGTGAAATTAAAATATGTATACGGTGATTATAAATAAAATAGATGAAGGGAAGAAACCAAAATAATGTCAGTTCGAGTTATTGAAAAACACTGGACACTTACAAAAGTAATACACAAAGTGGACATATGAATAAAAAAACACTTACTATTATTATTGAATCAGAATTAGGTTTAGGAGATTTAGCTAAGTTAGGAATTTTCAAAATATTGGAATCAAAGTTTTCTGTAAGAACTTGTGGTTCTTTAGTAATTTTTGCAAGCTGTTTCGCACTCTTGTCAAGTTCTGTTAATTTGTAAATAACTTTAGAAGATGACACTGATGACAAGTTGTCTACAATTTCTTCGCAAACATTTGTGCTAACATTAGCTACAAAAATTGAAGAATAAAGAGTAAATCAGGTTACTGATACTATGATAACTGTTATTTTATATTTTCTTCATAAGACGAAAGCAAGTCTAGCATTATTAAAGTTATATATTTGGATCGGTGACCGATTTTCAAAAGCAAAACAAGAAGTAAACACTTGTCGTCTTCTGTGATTTATTCAGAAAATTAAGATTATACAACGGAACTAACGAAGGTAGTATAATGTTTAAGATATCAGGTCGGAAAATGAAAGTTTATACACTCACCAGACATAATCGAATTGAAGGAATCAGTGTTCGCCAGCTTGAAGTGAGATTATTCACACCACAGTGCTGTAAACCTAAAGTTTTGTGACGAAACTAAGGTCTTAGTGATACTATATTTGGTTAATACTGAGACCCGGCTTTCACAAAATAAGGATACAACTTGTCTGCTAACTTACACCAAGTAAACTCCGCAAAAAGTAACTTCTCACTTACTTTACACAGCTTACGACTAGGAATGAATGGGGAAACATGATTCTTGAGATTAACTTTAAATAAACCCCTGCAAATTAGGCAGATTTTACTTCGATTTCTATTCGTGTGGCAGACCTATGCATCAAGGTGTATTTTAGTCTACAGAAAAGACTAAACAAATGAATTTTGTTCGCGTGTTCAAGGTGTAACAAACAACCTTTAAATGAAGTGTTCTAAACTTGGATTTAATTTTATAAAGCGACTAAACGTTGATTTTGCTGAGGTTATGCACATAAGAAATGTGATATAATTTTACAACGAATAAAATGGGAAAGGTGGAAAGTAGCAATATTTGGGTTAACATATAACTGACAATGGACGTAGAAACAAACATATTCAGTTCGGAAGGACAAGAGAAACAATCAAGATATGAGTGAAATTATAAGGTATATGAATTATAATGGACAACAATATATTGGTACCTTTTAAAAAGAAGAAACTAAAGCGGTAGATATTAAATTGCTGTATCCTGTAAATTAGGAATAGTTTGTTACAAGGAGTTCAAATTTTATAATTCCTGGTTCTCAACAGCATGATAATAACTTATTTTAACTAAAGTTTAGCAGTGAGTACAACTTAAATTCAGGAAATTAATTCCATTTTATTTGGGGCTCGTCAGCCAAACTTGAGCCCCAGTGTCAATGTTTGGACTAAAAAGTGAATCCAGTCCATCTCTTTTTGAGCGCCTAATGCGTTAGCTACGGAATTCAGATAGTTACTGGTTTACGCATTGGCAACAAACTTTAATTTGTTAAGAAATTGAATATTCCTTTTGTTGATTTTAGGAAATGTGATTGATCAATCTCTTATGGCATATGTGCGCTTACGACATTATAAGCGAAAATTAGTGGATTGGAGTCCCAGTGTAAACAATGACACGAATGCACGAACATCCAGCTGACGAGTTGTGTGTGAAACGAAACGTGTGTCTTCAATTCCACTCCAAGCCACAAACAAATTTTGCTTAAAATGATTGTAACTTAATGGATATATCGAGGCAATCCGCTCAAGATATACGTATACCAAAAAAGGCTGGTCAGTTCTAACCCTTAATATCAACAACGGGTAATTCAAGAACTAACAAATGAATTATTCCAAATGAGCTTTTTTTCCTGGTTTATCAAAGGTACTGGATATGGTAGATAGCATGACTTACAAAGTAACTAGAATATGATTCATTCCATACAAAAAAGTTATTATTTACCTTCAACATAATTTAATCTGATATTCTCAGGTGTTTTTACTTCAAACTCATTAAGATCGGCTTTGATTTGAGGTTCTAATATGTTTAAACAAACTACTGGTGAAGTATCCAAAAATCTGAAATTTAAATTAGAGAAAACTTGTTTTAATGTTATGAATAGAAATTGAATTGATAAATGGCCCTATGTAAAACTTGATAATAATCCACAAGGATTAAAAACCACTAAATATCAAGCGTAATTAATTTTAGTAACTAAGATGGAACAAATGAAAAAAACAACTAATGTAAAGTACCCGAGCTTATAGAATAAAAAGTGATCTAATTGACTTACGAAAGACTGCACTAACTTAGTGAAATAAATTAGGCTAGAACTTACAGTTTACGAGGTATTTCTGGTGTAGATTTATCCAGATCAACATCCAATGCCCTATTACTAACAGTAAAGTTAGTATGAATTGATTTTTCGTGAACTTCCTCATCCGAAAGATTTTGGGAACTGTCAGATTTGTGCACTGAAGTGACTGGTTTGACAATTACTTCCGTAGGATCACAAGAAACACCATCTCCTGGTAGTGCTTCGTCTTTTTTATTACACAAATGGGTCTGTGAGTCTTCATCATTTGTAACCACAGAGTAAAGTTTACTATTGTACACAATAGGGGAACACGCAATAGATGACCGGTATGATGTACTTGATTTATTTAGCCGCTTTGGTGTACACATCTACAGCACAAGATAAGCATTTACAACACTACATAGATATTTTTAAAATTACCTCCATTAGTTTCGGCAACGGTTTACTTTGAGTAAAACATTCTCGTTTAATTGAATCGACATTTACAGGTGAGGTAGCAATTGAACCAAAAGAGTTATTGCTAACAAGTGGTTGAGATTTCAAATGAGTGGTTGTCTCGAAGGTTTCAAAATCAAAATACTATAAATACACAATGTATAATTACAGATATATTTTAGGAATTACAATATAAATGCAAAGATAATCAATATTTGAAAGTCCGATGTTTGAAGGATAAGAAAAATCATTTTATAGCCTGAATTCCGCATAAACTCACAAAACTCCCCATAAAAAGGTATTTTATGATTTTCGCTGATTAAACATCAATAATTAGTGAAGGTACAGATTTCTGCTAGTTCGCAACAAAAAGAGGAGTATGTTTTGGCACTACACCAAAAAATTATGTTTAAACAGATAACGAGAAATTAGCAAACATTTGAAATACATCACAAACAATTTTGAAGCACAAATTTATGTGGTCAAAAAAGGTTGTCTTAGTGACCATAAATTCGACTCAAACAAATGTTGCAGCATTCAAGTACTTGATACTGTTAGTTTTTAGAGAAATTTCTATTTGTAATAGATCTTACTTCAAATTTGATTGACTGAAAAACGTTGAAAGATGACTAACAACTTGATTATGATTTTGCATGATCTATGTGTTATTTTAACAAACAATATTTTAAACACAATGTGCAGTTAAGATATATGTCAATAAAAATTAAGTAAGGCCATTTTATTAATGAGCATGAGAATGACTACGCAACGGAATGAAGCAATGCGAGAAGTATTCTGTATTTCTTAATCTTTTGAATAAAACACCAAAATGAATAATGTAACTTACATATATACTTTATACTCCTATTTCGACATTTAAAAAATTAAACATGTAGAAATTTCTTCTCAATCAGCTCCTTATTATAACATTATAATAATACATAAATGTTTTACAACTGGTAATAAAATCAATAATAATCAAACGGTAATAATACATTAACGAAACAAATCAAAAATCTGGGAAATATATTCCAACGTTTGTAATTAAATTGTATGTACCTAATTAATTTCTTTGAGTACTAGATGCATAATGAATGTCCAATTCAGATTTGACAACAAATATTATAGCGATCTAGAATGGGTAGCCATGTGGTAAATACTGGACCCTCTACTGGCGGACATTTTCCTTGCAAAACTGGAAAATGCACCACTTAAAAGCACAATTAACCATTTACCAACTTATTATCGCTATATAGAGGATACTTTCATATTATTAGAAAAAGAACATGATAAGGACAATTTACTGAATACATTTAATAACGTTTATTCATCAATTCATTTTACATCAGAAGAAGAACAGAACAATAGCATATCATTTCTAGATGTCCAGTTAACTAGACAAGCAGACGGAACTTTGAAAAGAGGGGTACATAGAAAGTCTGCAACAGGACAATACACTCATTTCTACAGTGCGGTCCCAATCAGATACAAAAGGATCTTGATAGAGATCCTGACTCATCGTGTCAGAATGATGTTTTCGGATGACACTATTAGAGATGAATTGGTTAATATTCGTAACTTACTTAGTAAGAATGAGTAACCTATGAAATTCATCGACAAACACATGAAGGAGATGAAAAGGAGGACAAAGATACCTACCGTCCGTAAGAAAGTATTGTTCATAAAATTACAATTCTTAAACGACGCTACTGAAGAAATTGTGACTCAGAGACTAAGAAAAACTGTACAAAAAACATTCATTGCAGCCAGATTAAATGCTATCTTCTACAACCACCCCACAATAAGAACGGCCAATATAGACAGATTATCTGAATTCGCCAAATCCATATGTATTTATCTATTCCACTGCCCCTGTGGAGCCAGTTATACAGGGCATACAATTCGGCAAGTTCATCACCGTGTAACAGAGCACCATCCGTCGTGGTTAAGCAAAGGACAAGTAAGAGTGATTAAAAGTTCTATTCTCACTCACTTGGTTGACACAGGTCATCAAGTTGAATTGAATAAAGGTTTTAAGGTTATCTACCATATTCCATCAAATTCGACACATGGTTTACGAGTGCGCCTTTTGCACATTGCGGAAGCCATCGCAATCCACGTTCGCAAACCTAACCCTTGCACTCAAAAGAAATTTGTTCAACCACTTTCGCTACCTTAACCATCGGTATAAGATTTTTTTCAGCAGAACTATTTTTCGTACTTATCCCATTTGGATTTTTCAAATTTTTCATTGTTTTTGTTGTTTTTTGATCTTTGTAATTTCTCAACATGCATCTATTGTTTCTTACGTAACTACTATTCTATTGACCATCCATTAAGATATTTTGTTCCTTCTCTTTTTCATATATTATGCAACGTAGCGACTCCTTGATTTAATAATTACTTTGAATATCATTATTACACTTTCTTCCAATTACTCAATGTTAGTTTAAATGTCATTGTGTAATTATTACGTAACATATCCACTCGATGAGCATTATTTCATTATTTTAACTTTACAGTTTTACATGAAAATGATAGTGAATAATTGATTAAAGAGTTCAAAAGTTGTCGAAAGTTTGCGTAAACATTAAAACTCTCTTTTATTGGTTATTACGCAATCTTTCAACAACTTTTGAACTCTTTAGTCAATTATTCACTATCATTTTCATGTAAAACTGTCAAGTTATAAATATTATTAACTCATTAACTTTTGATTTGTATTGGTTTTATTATCCATATATTTGCATAAAGCACAAAGGCAAATATCAAAGGAAAAAAATACTTCCTTGCTTGACTTTTTTTCAGGCATTTTTCATTAAAATTGCCGATCAGTTATTGACGTTGAATGTCATTATTAGGAATTAAACTTATTTTAACTTTAAACTGAAGGGTAATCGAGCTCTCTCTGACCAATTTATTTAACACGAAAGGCCTTGCAAACCTGATGAATTGTCAACCAACGTTATTTACAATTAAAACATCAGGATCATGTTAAGTTTTTATCATTGAACTAGAATGGTAATTATGATTTTTATGTAAAATTTGAGAATATTCATATTCGTTTCATCATAGAATTTAAATAATAAAATAAAAGTATCTGATAAATAACCATATTGAAGGAAACTATGAAATACTACTAATAATAACTAATAAAATGGAAACGGAATTCGACATGTCTTCGTTACAAACACATTATTTTACTTAGTTTTACAGTAATCCAATAGGTGAACCAGAAGAGAGTACATAAATGTTAAGTATTTGTTTACCAGACATATCGGATCTGAGAATCAATAATGACCAAACTTCCAGAAATGAAATCAATGTCTACTCCAGTTGGACTTATTTTATGACCTCCTGTACACGGTACAGCGTATTTACTACAAAACAGTATATATAACATAACATAATATATGCTAAAAATGTTCCTATAAGTTGAGTAAATTTATCATCTTATGTAGTCTTATAGCTATATTACGCTAAACAATAAACACTGAGTTCCGGTCTTCAAAACTAAATATGAACAGAGATTTTTTGGGAAGTATCTCAATATAAATCTTTTCTTAACAATGCACATCTCCGGGTATAACAAATAACCGCAAATAGTAGACAAAGTGTCTTGAGAAAACATAAAACTCTGCAACGTCGAAAAACTACCAAATTGCCTCTAACACCGTATGCCTTGTAAATAATTTCCAGAATGAATAATGATACCGAAGCGTCATTATATCAGATAATACTAACACAAAGATGTTAACGTACCTGACGCAAAGATTGTAAACGCCTCAAAATACAAACCAAATTGGCTTCTTCACTGTCGTCAACAACAGTTGATGATGTAAACTTTAGCTGGAAGAAATTCTTACTCAAAGCACTCACTATGATTCTTGCTTCAATGACATATCCAGAAACTGATTTTGCCCATTCACATACATCTTTGATCGGCTCAGTCATGGTGAAACGTACAACAATAACGCCCGTTTCAACTAGGAATCAATTTTGAGTAGTTTGAATGAAGAAGATGAAACATATACACTTTATGAAGAGCATCCACAAATATTACTTGATCGCAAAAGTAGGAACAAAACTCAGACAAAGAACATTTATAGAAGCGAAAATACTTAGTAAACATATCGACTTTGAAGACTATGTATATAATGCCACCAGACGACACACCTACTTGTCCAATCAAATGTAATTAGATATGCAATTAAGAATTACCATAGACCTGTGCATGTTTAGTGCAAGAACGTTGTACGTTTTGTTCCACTATAATTAAGAATAATGTTACCTGGAATTAATAGTTTAGTCAATCACGGTAGCACAATGAACATCATAATATGATCAGTTTCTAATCCGGACGGAAGTTGTTCAGAAAGATATTATGGGATTTGCATATAAATAAGGGTCACAACTTAAAAATAACTAGAATTAAGTAACTGCTACAGTTAGCAGATTCACTTTCTAGCCAACCGACATCAAGGCTTAATCCTCAAACCAACTTCATTAAAAGAAAAATGCTCTTTCAAGCAAACTTAAAATATGGTATCATTCTCAAGAATAAAAGCATAAAGCCGAAAATTCGATACATTTATGTTTGACGATCTGACCATTCATGTGTTCCGCATTTGAAGGTAAGCCAGTAAGTTGAGAGAATCTACTCGATCTCTCAGGATGTTCTCATAAGGTTGTGATTTAAGAGCCTGTCACATGGGTATCTCATTTGCTGCTTTCATGCAACAGTAGTATTGCTTACGAAAACGAGAGTACGAAAAGAGAATATCCGGAACGATAGGGGGTACAGAGGATACCACTTAGTGGATTTGGAAAACCCCGACCCCAATTGAATGGTATGCAGAATCCTCAGGATCCTAAGGGATTGAATAACGTATGAACTTAGTATAGCCACCTGCTCGCATACGAATACTAGTTGTGTGGCACACACTATTTTTGATGTCTTGGTATTTTATTTCAAGTAACAAATGAAACCAACAACAGTGATGTTTATTTTCACTGCTATAATCTCAGTTCCACTCAGAAAGTTCAAGACTTTATAAGTATTGTACAACATTAATAAATATAACTCCTATTCCATTTAAACTGGAATTTTCAAATTAACTATGTAAAATATTTTGTATGATTGAAACCACAATACATACAGACAGATAAACCTGCTAACAACAAATAAGAGTATTATGACAACATAAGTATGCTCTAGTGGGGAAACACTTGGGTTTCAAAGTAATTAATGGAATGTGTTTTGGGTAGTAATTCACGTTTCATGTGGTAGTATTTTCCCCTTCTCAAATTTATTTTTGTGCGTCTAAGCCAACTGAGGAGATTCTGTAGGGACATTGGTTATCTGTTTGATCTATCCATGTCGTCTAGTTATGCATCATCATCGACACGTCGAGGAAATGTAAACCAGGATTTCACAAACACCTGGTTATGACTTATATTTGTAAAAGTTCTATCCTATTAAATTACCAGGTTTTAGTTAGTAAAACTAAGTTCTAGTGTAGTTGCTTTATTGAAACAATAAAGTTATAGGCAAAAACATCGTATACTACTATGTTGTTGTCAGTTACTTATTGAAAATCTATTTATGAAATCGTATAAATGTAAAAAATTGTTAAAACTGTTATAAGAAAAAATAGTTTTTATCAATAGGTAATATATTTCAATACAAGTAGGTAATTAGGTTAATAGTTTGCATCTAGACAAAGCGTTGGCCAGAACAGCAAATAGATATTGAGAGTAATTATAAAATATAGGTAGTCACATGAATAAAACCTGAATCATTTAAGAAACTTCAGATTTTTGCACTGAAGTAGAATAATGTATACTAGTCATTTGAGTTGATACAGTTTTATATTGGGTTTATTCTTCTAAAAGTCATCGAAATGTTCGTAAAGCGTAACGTTCCGATCTCCAGTAAGAGGTTGTCTTTCTGTTTGAACACAGGCAAAAAGGATCCCTTATCAAATCGTAGACAATGCATTCGCAAGGGATTCACAAGATATGTAAAATACGTACTATTAAGATTTAAAAAGTATATATAGATGCAAATATGTTTTCAAGTCCCAACAAAATTGACCAATTTGTTCGCTTATTTTTAACACATTTATTAACTGTCAGATGCTATTTTCCGACAGACACATTTCCATTAGTTTATTTGTTGCTATTTACAATCAAGTCGACAAAAGTTTATGTGGAGTTCACTGTAAAATAATGAAAAATCTAAAGGTTATGCAAATAAACCGAGTACAAAAAGGATGCGATTTTGATAAATGTCAAAAAGGAATCAAATTACACAAATCGACTCATTTCCTCACTCATGTTTAGAAAAATACAAATAGATCAGTCGAAAAGCAACTCTTAGAAATTATAACAGCAAAAATGATTATCCATTAACTTACGCTTAATATCCAAACAATCAAGTAGTTCTGGATAGATTGTTAAAATCTCCCATGTATGCGAACTTTGAGATGTGCAGTCCTGTAAAATGATATACACCAAACAGAACAATAAAGCAAATCTTTGTATATAACATTAGCATATATAAATTGCTAACACTTCATTCGAAATGAAAGCAGAGGGAACAATATACTTATTGATGGAGATTTTACTGAAAATTGCACTATCCGATAAACAAAAGATAAAATGAATTAGGTTGTGAAGTTATTTCACTGCCATGTTGATATAAATAATACATAGCACAATCAACATTGGTAGAAAAAGGAAATGAAAACAGAAGAGACTATTCACCTTCGAGTACATTACAACACAACATAAAATAATGATATTAATGAAAACTATATGCAATAAATCAACTACATGAAAACTAGATATCCCATACATAGAAATACATAGAAAACTGGCTAGTATTAACAAGTGCAGTATCAAAAAGTAGACATTTCATGTAAGCAATAAAACCATGGGTAAAACATACCGAAATTTGGGAGGCTTGGTTAAGAGGTGCCAAACAATATGATGTGATTCGGTTGGTACCCAAATTGAAGTCTAACCAAAAAACATCCCCTTTGACATTAGGGGTTTCGGGATACCTCAGCTTAAAATAAACAGAGTACGACAAACGATCAGCAGACTAGTTATTGTAGCTGCAAGACTGCATAAATATTTGTAAATCGTAATAATAAAGAAATTAGAGATATACTTGAATTAGTCAAAATTCCTAGTTTTAATTGAGTATTTAGATGCCTTGGGAGAAAAAAGACATCTGTATATGACCAAAATCACTAATAACTTTTATTTACGTTATATATTTATCATAGTAACGGTAAAAAACCTACAAGTAAACAAACTAGGATATGGTGGAAGTCACTATATTAGTACAGTTTTCAGAAGTCCTTCTTGTGGCAATTAGCGCTGTCAGATCAATAAGTATAAGACCAATTCTACAAACCTATTTCAATCCCTTTCTGAAAAGAAGGATCAATTAGTTAATATTGTGGGGAAATTATCGAATGAAGAATCAAATAAAAACACGCAGTCTTATACAGAGCGGAACCCGATACATGTGCATCGAGCCAGATTGTCATGTTTCATATCACCGCAACAATAATCTAGGACAGTGAACATAATGATTGTAGCGGAAAATCAAGATTAAGAAATATAGTTTAGAAATAGAAAACTTAGATTTGGAATGAGAGAATAACAAAACTCAATATTTAGACGACTGTAATGAATGCGTTAGTGCCAATGAGATCATTATCAAATCACCATATTTAAAGTTTCCGGACATAGATAACATGTAGTTAACTACGATGGTTAGGATCGGCAATATGGTTTGTATAGTGAAATAAATTTCAAAGACAAAATGACGATGCCTATCTTTCCTCAGTTCCGATGTACAATAACGAGATTGGTGACCACATTCAATTCTTGTCTACATTCATGTAAAACATTTGTGCTCTTGTAAAGAAATTTTTCTTATTAAGTGTACATGTTAAAAATAGCAAGCAGAATCCCATTATTTCATCCTGGTAACATTATTATAATATCATTGGTTAAGAACTTACCGATAAATCACAAAGCTTCAAAGCCTCACACGGCAAAGAGATGATTCTAGAATTATTGGAGATTATAATCAAATAAGAAACTTTCAAACTTTGGATTAACATTTTTTACACTATTGATTGTGTTTAGAAACGACCGAACTTCCTTGAAAGATAAAAAGTATGTAAGTTAGGACAGAAAACTATTCACAAGCTTGTAAAACGGCACAAGTAACAATCATAAATAGTTTTATAAAGTCACTTAATTTAACGTGCAAACAGTTATCAATAATTTAAATAAATGATCACAAATATTCAAGACCGTCTACAAAACGACCTCCATGTTCCATGTTTAGTGATAGACGAAATAGAATTTGATAGTTCGTGTTTTACTTTTATAAACTATAATCGACCGACATGCATTAGGGGCTACGAATATATGTTTCCATCTATTGATTTTTATCAAGCCATCTAATAAAACAGAGCGTTCCCAACCGCTAATGGCCATTCAGAATCGACACTCACTCCACAACTAAAATTTAAGAAATCAATTTCTTTGTAAAACCTGAATCCTAAAGTCGTGAAATGTGGAAAAGAGTATTCGGATGAAAAATCGAACTACTGAGTTTCTCAGACTATTTAAAAATATAACGTACATTTCTGGCTTAAGATCGCAGATCTTTAGTTGATCATAATTGTTTTCTATCCCCAAATGATTAAAAACTTCAAAATTAAGCTAAAAACGGTTTAAAAAGCTAAATGTTATTGTTTTGTACGTCTAAAAAGTTGGAAAGTAGTACGACAGTAACAATTGGCAGTACAAATATGTCGGTATACAAGCATATTACTATTCTTAGACACTTATACAGTCAATATAGCGACCTCACGCTTTGAACGAGAAGCTACTTACTGAAATTCAAGAATTTTTTTCGACGA